CCCCGGGCTGCTCCCGGATGGAGGGCAGGGAGTAGAGCCCCCCAGAGGCCTTGGAGACGAGCGGCCTCGTCACTGTGCGACACCCAAGGGAGGGAGAAGGCCATCAGCTGTGCCAGGTCCCCCTCAGCAGAGCTGCCCTCAGCCACTGACCCCACTTTCCCGAGAAAAAGCTCGTCACAACTTCTGAGCAAATGTGTTGACAGGCAATTAATTCTGCCAGCCACTTTGCTCTTTCCATCATGCCCCCTGCTAACACGCAAGGCCAGGACCCACAGCAAAGGAGACCAAAGAGCTATCCAGTTCCTTTTAGCTAGTGCACCCCAAAACAGCGAAAAGATAAAATTCCGTTATTAAAATTTTCATTGGATAATTTAGGAACGGGAGCTGGAGGCTCAGTCCACACTGGCTAATATCTGCCAAGCAACAGCTCGAACCTCTCTGCAAACACAAGCTGGGGGACACCTTGCTTCAGGGCTCAATAGAAGAGAGGCCACCTTGCTCCAAGAGGCCCGTGCCCTCCAAGAGTAACTTCATATGTGGCTGATTACTGACAATCAGCCAACATGAGATAATTTATCCAGGCGCCAAGATCCAAAGCAGGAAACTACTAACTTTATCAGATTGATTTCTATTTGGGATAAGATCATTGGAAACAGTTTTTCACAGAAGTCAAATAAACTCTATGTTTCTGCCAAAAATCAGAGCAAAGACAAGGTCTAATCAAACCCAAAGTCTAATCAAGGTCATTTTAATACAGCCAACACACACTGATGTGCAGTTAGCATTTTATTTACTAAGGGTAGAAAACAACAATGGATCTTTCAACTAGCAATAAGAATATTTTAAAATTGGATAACTAGCTGCTAATCCCATGTATAGTCTGCCCCTTGCAGCAGTTTAATCCAAATCTTTGCCTGTCCAAAAAGACTAGTCCTACACAATCAAGTGGGGTAGGGGAGAAGGGGCTGCTCAATGAAATTAATTAGTCAGGCTCCCCAGCCAGAGTTACATGAAATAATGACATGTCATCAAATAACGATACATGATGGGCAATGCGAAAGGAACCCACTTCCTAGAGATTCTGTAGTTGTCTTATGAAAGCAGAACATTTCAAGCTCAACTCCTCTCAGATTGAGACGTGAAATTAAAGTATTTTTTAAAAAGCCACAGGACTCATAGAAGGGGATCAGAGGTCCTAAAAAGCAACTTCACCTCTAAGAGATTCCACGTCTGATTTTGGCAGCTTGCTTAGTTGTTAATGTTTTTGATGGTCTTGATATAAATCAAGTTATACTCTTTTATTATATCATGACAAAAGTCCAGGATTCAAAGACAGCCCCATGCAGCCACAAGTCGTGATTGCTAAACCAGCTCTAACCTGCCATACATACTAAGAGCCGATAATGCTTTCTAATTCTAGCCTACAATAAGAATATTTTTCCAGTCTTTTAAGTTTTGCCATTCCAAAGCATGCCATAGCAGAGTCAGAAAGAGATGATAGTCTCACACACACACACACACACATACACAGTATGTGCTCACCTGTGTCTGGATTAAAGCCCTCTCCCATGCTATATACTTTCTCCTGATCAGCAGGCTCTTCCCGCTGATCTCCAAGGTCAATAATCTCCAACATGTGCCAAGGCACCCAGTAGGTCCGACCTGTTGACTGCCATAAAACCTGTGGGTGAAACAGATCTAGGTGATTAGATTTGCCACTGAGTCCTCAAGTTGTATTTGTCCTCCTCTTTCCCAAATGAATGGAAATAAAAAGCACTAAGCAAGTATAGAACAGATTAATTCACACACAGATTTCTACAAAAGTTGTCTGTTTTTAAGCGTATTGTCTTCAACTTGCTCCCCTGATCACATCTCAATCTCTTCATAATAAAAAAAAATCTCAGGTTTGTATGCAACCATTGCAGACCTCTTCAGGACAGTAGCAGTAGGTTAAGCAAAAATCCTAGACAAAAATTTGCTGATGAATATAAAGAAAACATGTTTTTTCCCCTTCTGTGACTTTATGTTTTCTTGATTATACTTCTACACCTTGGTCACTTACTACTCTATGGATTCTTGGACAAATTTCTTGCTCTTAACTTGAACGTCCCAAAGATAATTGTTTCCTGTGTAATCCAAGTTGCTTCTCAAAATCCTCTTTTGCTTCCTATAAAGTAGTTTTACATTTAACCTTCGGAAGTTTCTTTTATCTTTCCCAATTAAAAACTTTTTCGAGGATGCTCTCTCTTACTCCTAATAACTCTTCTATCATGACTTCTAGAACCTCTGTGTGTGTGTGTGTGTATGCGTGCGCGTATTTTGTTTTGGTTTTGATAAATGTGAAATGTTCACTTTGGGTCTCTCCCGAAAGTAAAGCAGGCTCCTTTATTTAACTCTCTTACCAGTCCATGTTTTATAAAGGAGACTTCAAGCGCTTCTATTTAATCCCCAAAGAAGACCAACTGTAGAGATTTTTTGGTTTTCATTATTTAAGAACACAGCAACAAAATACACTGCAGTCCTTGTCAAGAGCAGCTTTCCAAGAATAAGGGATGGATCCCAGGCCTGCGCTTTGCTCAGAACCAGCACAGTACTGCCTTTCCACCGGGTAGATATTTACAGTGTGTCTATATTTACTCATGACATCCCAATCCCATGGGACACTTTTGCAATCCACAGGGCAGTAACTGAAGTCCTTGGGTTTCCTGCCCTGACAGTTTTGCCAACTTTTCTCAGCGTTGCCCCTTGCTCAGGCAGTTGATGAAAGCCCCAAACACTAGGCTTCTCCTATTTATGTCTGGCCTTTGAGTTCTTAGGATTTCTATGTGACTAGCTGAAAGGGTTCGTTTGTCTCATCTAGCTCCTCTCCCACATCAGACACATCTGTGCTGTATCAGATCTAGCACGTGTCCTAGCATTACACGAAGTCCAGCTGATAAATTATCCTTCAATCATGCCTGGGCATCCTTCTTTGAAATGCTCTACGTGTGCCTGCTTGAGTGGGAAGGTTGGACTAGATGATCTCTACGGGTCCCTTCCAACCTTAAATATTCTGTGATTCTGTGATTCTGTGATTCTGTGAAATCAGACATTATAATCTCCCTTCTTATTTTCTGATTTTTTCTGCTGCCTTTTTCACCTCTGATTGATATAATTTTGTGCCTTTGTCCAAGGCATTTATCCAAGAGGATAAATTGTGCTGGACCATTAGTCCTTCCACCTCTTTCAACTCTCCCCTCCGGTGGAGTTTAAAAGCTCCGTGAGATCTTCCTTGACATTTAGGCTCAGCACTCTGGTTCCAGTTTGGTTTTGAGTAAAGTCAATCCCTTTTGAGCCATCTCTTTCTATCTAAAAGTCTCCCGGTTCCTAAAGAAGGTAAACTCTTCCACCTTCCATCATTTTCTTAGTAACCAGTTGACTTCTTGCATCTCCTTCTCAAGGAGGAGATCTACCCTCTACCCTCTTCTAGCCTCTTCGCTAACAATTTCAAGATTTAGAACACCTTGCACTCTTCACATGTGCCACAACCACTGCTTCCTCTCCAGCACTTCTTAGATAACAAGCCAGCTAGACCTTGTCTAGCAAATAAGTTACTCCAGTGGTCTCTGATGATGCAAACCCAGCCTTACATCTAACATGTTCTGCCACTTTCTGCCTACTGGAATCTCTGGTCCTGAAGGAATTTCCTTGGTACTAGATCACTACCACTCAGCAAGTAAGACCGGTTCAGGGGATCATTTCACATCAATGTGTTGCTGCTTCACTGAGCTCTCTGTGGAGTCAAACCAACGCTACCAGGACTTCAGAATGCTAAGCTATCAAGGAATATAAGTTAAAAAAAAAGGGAGATGTGCTAAACTATACACGTCACRTGTTAGTCTTCCATGACTTCCTGACCAAAGCTAGTTGTGTACTAATTGTCTATTGAAAGTCACAGAAAGATAGAACTGAAGGACCTGAGTCAATGCTRAAAGTCAGAATAACTTTGCATCTGTGTGAAGAGGAAAAGGAAACAAGAGAAAACATAGGCGTGCAGAGGCCAGCCTCAAGGACAGCAGCACAGAATGTGYTTGTTAGTAGGAAAAAGAGAAACAGCAGCTAATCAGTGAGAATGAGAAACTCTTGCATATGAAAGTGTATAAAGCAGTTAAAGAAAGCATGCACRCACTCCATAGATCCAAGACAAGAAGAGAGGAGACATAAAACAGACACTCATGGACTGGCCGCGGGGTAAAAGGAAAGTAAACAKATGTTTTTGTACACAGGAGAAGACACTAAGCCGCAGGAAAGACGAGCCACTAAAGCAGAACAAAGCGGAAAGGAAAAGATGAACTTTAACTGAGAAAAGGGAGAAGCTGCTCTTGTAACTAGAGCTCACTAGGACAAGTTGCTTGCTAGCAGGTTAAGTTGTCAATACAAATGCAATTGTCAAAGAAACTCTAACAAGTGACCTTGTTATACATTCCAGTCTAACACTCACTGGAAAGGTCCTAGTGAAAAGGCACAGCTGCACAAACTGTGYCCAAACTAGTCAGAAGAAGAGCATTGAAAGGACTGCCATTCACATGCCAAGGCTTAAGACCCCAGCAGCTCTTGCTGCATTACTTCCTTGTGAGCTAGCCTGCTCCCAAACAACTCCACGACTGAACTCAGGTCAGGGATTACTGCGAGAAGGTAAGGTATATTCACCGCTTTGAGCCTTAGAAAAACTGAGCAGGGCAGATGGGACTAAACCAAATCAGCTTGTGTCAGGAACCTGCTCTCCAGCCCCAAGAGAGGCATATTCTTTGCTAGCCAGCACCAAAATTATAATTCATTGCCCCACTTCCAGATCACAAAGATGTTATTAGCAAAACACTAAACATCCCTACTACTGCRCTCTCTGCCACCCTAGACCTCTCTGCACCACTGACCTACCTGCACTGCATCCGTGCCATTAGTGTTCTGGCAACACACGCCTTCATCCCCAGCTCTCACATTACCACAGTCCTCTAGCATACGGACCCGCACGCCACACATCAGGTTCGTCTGCATGTGCTCTGCATTGCTGTTGTGGCAGGAGGAATTTGAGGGCGTCAGGAAAGCAAAGCCCTGTTTCTTCCAGGGACCAGGATTTGGAGCAAGCACAGACATAGGAGCCCCAGGGCAGGCCGGAGCCTTGGGCTGGAAGATGGAGCGGGCAGCACGTGGCCGTGTCCCCTGCAAGGACGGCAGCTCCAGCTGCTGCCGCTGCTCCCAGCCCATGACGTGCACCAGCTCCCAGATGAGGTTGGCCATGGCCATGCTGAACTCAAACTCCTGCTCCACGCGGCTCCTCTCCCCACAGAGTGAGCCGYGCTCGGCGCCATCCTGACGCTGCCCTCCCTGCTCCGCACCACCGCCGAGCTCATCCACCAGAGACGTGACGCACAGGTAGCGCTTCACCAGGGTGAACAGCAGCTTCCCGGGGACCTGCAAGAGGCACAACCTGTCAGACTCCCAGCTGCTACCGAGCCTCCAGCTGGCTCCAAGCTGCTGCCTCTTCCCCAGACAGGGCCCTGGCATGGCCTTGCACCCACGGCAGCAGCACAGCTCCCTCAGCCCACCCACACCTCCTTGCTCAGGGCTGCTGCCCACCAGCCCTCAGCCTCACACCAGGCCCAGGCCCTTAAGCAGTGCTCCTGACACCCAGTCCTGCTCAGCTGACCACCCCCCGMCGCCGCCCTTCCTTCTTCTCCTTCTCCAGCAAGGAGGACAAGAGTCCCGGCTCTCTCCCTTCCTGATGCCCCAAAACCCTCAGCTCTGGGCTGACAGGCCCAGCAGTTACCTGCGGGAGGTGAATCCCCTCAAAGGACATGCAGTGCTCTTCAGAGGACATCGTCTCAGCAAACAGCTCCAGCAAGGTGTAGCGGCTGTCAAAATCCATATGCTGCTCGATGCTGTCCTGCTGGCTCAGGGACAGCAGGACATAGGCCCGGCTCCCTGCAGCAACAACGGGAACTCCTCAAGTCTCACATCACCCCACTGTGGTAGAAAGACTATGGGACCAAGAAACAACTCCCTTTGCTGCTCTGTACCATCTAGAACTGCATTTTCTCTTTCTATCTGGATTAACAACATCTCGCTCTGCTAAAATACGCTATATTTTTTTCACCCTTAAAGCTGTGAGATTCTCCTCCCCCACCAAAAAAAGAGAGCCACTCCAAGTAACTGACTCTGGAATGGGGCCCAGGAAAGAAAAAACATCAGTCAATGAATCAATCTTCATGTGCCCCAGGAACTTCAGCATGGCAGCAGAGAAAGCCACACAGCTCGCTGGATCCACCTTCACAAGTCACTAGGCCCCTTCGCGGCACCACCAGGCCACATCCAGGGCTTTGAGCCTTCTCCTCTTAGACAAGAAGCGCAGGACATGAGCCGCTGAGCTTGCTTCTGACCTCTCAGGCCTAACAAGAGGCTCCCTGCCAAGAACAGGCCAGTGACTTGGCACACAACAGCAGCCAACAGAGACATCCTGACGTGTTGTAACCATCCTGGGATCAGGAGGCCACCTCCAAGCAGCTCCTCAGCATCCCAGCTTGGCAACTCCTCACGGAAAAGACCTCTCAAGTCTGTCCCAGAGCCCCRTGTCCAAGGCAGCCCCCCACACAGCTCAGGCTCCTGCTCCCCCTTCTGCCAAGCGGCCCCACGAGGCTCCATTTCCCACACAGCCCGAACCCACCCGAGGGTCAGCGCCGCTCGGCAGCGCAGCCGCGGCCCCACCTGCATCGTGTGAAGCCAGAGCCCTCAGCATCCGCCCGGCGCCGCGCCGGATCCGCGGCTCCTCGTGGCACAGCATCCCCAGGAGCAGCTCCAGGGCTCCCGTCTCCCTGAAGACGCGCGCCAGCGCGCTGATGCCCGCGTACGCGCTCAGCACGTGGATGGTGTCGAGGACGGCGGTGTCGAGGACGGCGGCGCCGGGAGCGCCGCTGCCGCCCATCTGCCGCGCCGCTCGCCGCACCAGGCTGCGCACGTCGGCCTCCAGCTCCAGCGAGGCC